TTGAAAGTGGCAAGGAAATTGTCTTTCAAGGAATTTTCCTCGCTATTGCTGAACTTCACAGTAAGATTCTAAATCAGGGGTCTTCAAACTTGGCAAGCTAGCTGAGGAATTCTGGGAGTTGAAGTGCACAAATCATAAAAGGGCCAAGTTTGAAGACCCCTGTTCTAAATGCTAAGTAGTAAGGCTGGCTTGCGATTCAGTGGTTAAAAATGGCTATAACACCCAAAGGACCACTTTTTCATTTAACAAGTATGTTGTTAGTATCTCTGGATATATCAGAAAGTAGCAACTCACCATATGTCTTTATTGTGGGCAGAAGTAATAGCAGGAAACAACCAAACAACAAAAATCAATGCAAAGTTACAGAAAAAAAAAACACCCATTTCAGAACATCTATTATGAAAGCATGGGCCCCACAGTTGAAGGCGATAAGATTGACTATTTGCTAAAAAAAACCCCAGAGTGTATTTATTACAAAGGTCATTTAAAGGAGATAATTACACAAAAACTAGCTTGGGACAGTTAGCTGTCAATGGGTGCAAACATTTATGGTCTGCAGAGAAATAATGCAAAAAACAGTCAAGGGACACAACAATATTGGTGTATCTCTGCCACCTCCCATGATTCTTCATTATTTGCTGTCTTCAGCTCTCTTCTAAAGATAGCATAAAACCAACTATTTTGCAAATATTTGATTTCTAGAGCTCTCAATGGCTGCCCGGCCTCTTCTAAAGCCAAGCAAGGATTTTTGTAACTACGAAGTGCAGACAATCTAACGTGACTCTATGCTTTCCTCCTAAGCTCTTCCTTTGAAACGGCAGACAGCAAGAAAACACGTAGAGGCATTCTTGCAGGAAACACCATGAACAGAAACTCTCTCACGCTACTTCCAGCCCTTCCTGAAGTCGAAGGGGTGTGAAACAGCTTGCGAAAGGCTTCCCTTGCCCTATTTCCTTTTCCACCCTGGTAAAAGTCCAGGAAATGTTAACTGGAGGATACACATAGCAAATCTTTAGCAGAACGAGGGCATGAGCAAATTTACAAACAAAAAACCACCCCACCCGAAAAAAACCTTTTGCCTTGATTCTGTGGAGGACGATGGAAGAGCTTGTATTACCGTAATAATAAAACTGTCGTGTTCAACGCTTGATTATTTAAGTTATGAAGCAGATTATTCTGCCTTCTTATGGATATCACAAGCGGTACAAAATACATGACCCAACTAATTATGCCAAAATAAAAGATATAATGATAACACAAGACTAATGCAAAGAATAATGCAAAGTAGAACCAGTTCTAAATCAAAATCACCAAATATGTTTATTCTGTTCCCTTTTAGCAGAGATTTGGATATCTAAAAATCAAATGCCAATAACTCCTCAGTAAAGTAATTTTGCACTACTTGTGTAAAGCTAATGAAACCACCTTACTTCTTCCAGTTGACTTTCAATACATCAAGGAAATATTTACCAGATGGTATATATTTCAAGCTAATATTTTACATTAATATGCTATTAGAAGAGGTGTTTCTTTCCCTTTATTTATTTTTTACATTCCAGAATCTCATTCACATTGACAAGAATCTCACTTCCCAAGTATTCCCATTACAATGAAATCATTTTCTATTTAATACTAAATATGGAGATATTATTTTGTATAAACCCAAAAGTCAATTATTCTAAATCTAGATGGTAATAGTGAGGCACATTTCCCATGCATATACTTTTTTCTTTTTTTCTTTTTAGAGAATCACCTGAAAGTCTGTTGAGAGACGAAGTGCACTGGCACTTCCCTCCTAGCTTTCATTAATCTTGCAAAGTAAAATCCACTGGAAAATCTCTGGCTTAGGATCACAGGTATTTTTTCTCCTGCAGCTTCAGTGAAAGTAACCAGTTTGGTAACCTTAGTTAAGGAAGGGAAATTGCTTTTTTCCCCTGCCCTCAAGCTGTTCACTTCTGCATAAGTAAGCAGGAAGTACAGGATCAAGCAATCGTTCTTCTAAAAGGGGTGGGTGGGTGATGAACTAAATTTCCCAGAAGCAGAAAAGTTCAGCAGTACTTGAAAAGTAACAGGTTTCCTATTTTAACAGACTGGACAGATTGAGAAAAAAAATCCAAAGGAAAAAAGTATAAATTAAAGGGAGATGGAAGATTACAATCTTTGCCTTAAAAAGTCCTATTTATGAATGGAGAATTCATAAAAAGAGCTAAAAGAAAATAGTATGGATATTAAAGTAAATTGGGTTATGCCCAATGATTTCTTGCTAATGAAATTCTTATTCTATTCTTTAACAGGTTTGGTAAGTAGGTAGTGTGTCATACACTATATTGTATGATATAACTCACTTTATTTTGTTCATAGAGAAAAGGCTATCAAAAACTGCAGAGCAATAGCAATAGCACTTAGACTTATATACCACTTCATATAAGCCCTCTCTATGTGGTTTACAGAATCAGGATATTCCCCCCAACAATCTGGGTCCTCATTTTACCAACCACAGAAGGATGGAAGGATGAGTCAACTTTGAGCTAATCAGGATCGAACTGCTGGCGGTCAGCAGAATTAGCCTGCAATACTGCATTCTAACCACCACTCCACCATGGCTCTTAATCAGCGTTATCTTTCATCTGCTGTGAGATCAACACAGTGACTTCAATCAGGAATTCCAGCAAAAAACTTTGGAATAAAGATGGAAGTCACACTATGGATCCTATTAAGTAGGATAGTACAAGCACATTCTCAGCTTAATCTACTTATTTTAAAGTTTTTAAAACTATCTGCTAATTCATAAGGGACTTCAGGCAATAACAAACAGTATTGCAACAATGAAAATAAAACCAGCAACATAAAAGGTAGAAGCATGGCTGTTTAACTAGTAATCAATACATATAATGTAACTGATCAAAGGCGATAAAAACACTTTAACCTAGCAAATATAGATTTATTGCTAGTCATACATTCTTCAAAAAGACATCTGAGGATACATCCACACTGCAATCATGGGTACAAATACAAAATATTATAGTATTTTAAATTACACAAATAAAGGGACGCAGAGCTTGGGTAGAAATTTCTAAAATAATGACCAATGAAATAATGCTCCTGTAAAAAAGTAACTCGCATCAACACATTTTAAGACACCGTGAAGAGATATTGTCCATTTATTATTATTTTATTTTATTTTATATAGAGGCCTAAGCCATGGGTCTGCAATCTTGACAACTTTAAGACTTGTGGACTTTAGCTCCCAGAATTCCTCAGCCAGTTATGCTGGCTGAGGAATTCTGGGAGCTGAAGTCCAGAAGTCTTAAAGTTGTCAAGATTGCAGACCCATGGCCTAAGCTATAAAATAATTTACTTTTTTTAAAGCCTTGTCATAACAAGCGTTATGACAAATCAGCACAATCCAATTCTGGCCTCTTGGCTGGCCAGAAGATGGCAACTGAGAGCAAACTATACAGTAACTCTGTAGGTGCTGTATCCTTCCAATGTTTATTTTTTTAGATTTTTTTTTTAAACATCTCACCTTTATTATTTTTATAAACAACTGAAGGCAGTGAACATGCCAAAACTTCTTCTTCTCCTGTGAGGTGGGTTGGGCTGAGAAAGAATGTCTGGCCCAAAGTCACCCAGCTAACTTTCATGGGCAGACTATAGCTCACAGTTTCCTGGCTTCTAATATGGTACCTTCACCACTAGACCAAAATGGATCTCTACCAGCCTCTAAAAGTTTTAATCTTGTAGAGTTTTATTTGGTAAGATACCTTTTTAAGAGAGATCAAGTAGACTTTTTGTTCTATCCTGTCAGAAGATGAGGTTCATTCCTGATCAGACCTTTTTAAAAAGGTTTTTTGTTTTTTTTTTTTAAAAAAGGTATCTTTTTAAAAGGTCTGATCAGGAATGAACCTCATCTTCTGACAGGATAGAACAAAAAGTCTACTTGATTTCTCAAAACTGTAGTTTTCCAGCCTTATCTGTGACACTGATACACAGGGAATTGTTTTACAATTAATCAGGCTATAAATTACATATAGCAAGATATGTGATGGCTCTATTTGAAAATGATATGGTATTGTGGATTAATTCTCAAGAAACGAAAGAAAAGAGGTAAGAATACTAGCACACATCATTTGAGCTTGTTCCAACAAACCAAGGCTATGCTAATTTGTAATAAGATACATGAAAACTTGATTTGCATTTGCACATGATATTTAACTTATTTTAGTGGCAGATTTAATTAAAAGGACTAATTAGTTTGTGACTTTCTCCTAGACCAGTCTACACCTTAGCAGTGCTATAAAGTAGACTCTTCTTATATATCAACACAATGTTTTCTCAAATACTGCAATCATACATTCGAAATTGTTCATTTTCTGTGAAGATCCCACTGCATATTATCCTTCAAAATTTATTTATTTATTTATTTATGAGACTTATATACCGCTTTAAGTACAAGCACTCTCTAAGCGGTGTACACCAGTAAGCAATGTATATATATATTTACATTGCCCCCAACAATCTGGGTCCTCATTTTACCTACCCCGGAAGGATGGAAGGCTGAGTCAACCTTGAGCCGGTGAGATTTGAACCGCTGACCTGCTGAACACAGTCAGCTAAAGTGGCCTGCAGTACTGCACTCTAACTGCTGCGCCACCTCAAAAAGTATAAATTAAATGCTGCAAGATAAAGTTACAACAATATCAGATTACTCAGAAAACCTACCATATTATGGATATGTGGCTCAAGTTTAACTATTTAGATCAGGGGTGGGGAACTATGGCTCCTTTATGACCTATGGACTTCAACTCTCAGAATTCAACTCACCATCCTGGCTCAGGAATTCTGGGAGTTGAAGTCCACAGGTCATAAAGGGGCCACAGTTCCCCACCCTTGGTTTAGATAATATTACATCAACACCAGTAATACAGAATCTTTCCACTGTTTCTTCTCCTTGTCTCTAATATAGCAGTAAAATTAATTGTAAGAAAAGCTGTACTTACTACTGTGCACAGTCAATCAACTGATATTCATTAGACCTTTCATAGCACGCTTTCACACCTTCATCTTGCCAAAGTGTTTTTGTATGTTCATAGAATTCCTGAAAGCAAAAGAAAAAAGAAAAAAAGAATGAATAAATCTATATCAACAACTAGAAAAGGAATACATAAAGTGCAATACACTTTAATATAATGAGCAACAACCCAAAAAATAGTAAATGGCAAAGTTTCAAGTATTTTCAAATGGGTTTTTCTGCATTAACCAAATCCTGTATCCCTAGTGATTTAGCTGACATTTGATGTACAATAATAAATATTTATGAAATGTGTTTAAAAACTCATTTTACTTAGGCAAAATTTCTGTATTTTAATTCAATATTAGAATTAAGTCACGTATTGCAATTATGCTGTATTTGTTTAATTTTAGCAATTTACTTTGTGCTTTCAAATAACGTTGCAAGATACAATGCAAAGTAAAATTTGAGAGTAATTGGACATAGAAGAGAAGCTTTATCTGTTTCTCTGTTATTCCATGCTCAATGTCCTGTGACATGAGATTGTTGGGATTTTGAGAATTTTCAAATGAATTTCAAAAATGTAGAAATACTCATTTCCCGTTTTGAAAGTATGAATACTAGAACCTTAAATAATGTTCACTGTAGCAACTACACTGTAGCAACTTTCTCCCTATAATCATAGATTAATAAACTAATTTTCTTCACTCAGAGGAATCCGATTCATGACAGGGCAAGCTGCTAACTCAGAACCAAATACATTTTTTCAAATTATTGTCTATGTTTAGTATCTTTAAACATAAAAAAGTATTTTGCAAAGTATCGAACTAGTTAAGAAAGTTTCAAAGAGCATTTCTTAAACACAGTTCACTTGTGTTGACTTGTTTTGGAATCTATTTTAAATTACTGTAGTGAAGTACTGGAAATTCAGGTTCAAAACATACACACACACACACAAACACGCACACACACACAAACACATCTTAACAAAGCCCAGAGATCTCTGGTAAGAACTACAATAATAAAAATACAGTGAAATTATGTGAACTTTTTAACACCTTCAACCCAATATTCATACAACAAAGAATCCAAGAAAATAAGTGTTATCTGTGCCAAACCAGGCAATTCCCTTTTACGAGTACTTCCTATATTTTCATGATGCCTTAGTGCAGTGTTTTTCAAACGTGGCAATTTTAAGATCTGTGAACTTCAACTCCCAGAATTCCCCAGCCAGCAGAAGTTGAAATCCAAACATTTATAGTTGCCGAGTTTGAAAAACACTGCATCAAGGCATCATAATATAGGAAGTACTCCCATTCAGTGCAGGAACTTCCTTGACAGATAGCCATCCAAGCTATGTTTAAACATCTTCAATGAAGGAGAGTCTATTCCAGGGTTTTTCAAACTTGGCCCTTTTATGACTTGTGGACTTCAACTCTCAGAATTCCTCAGCCAGGCAAGCTGGCTGAGGAATTCTGGGAGTTGAAGTCCACAAGTCATAAAAGGGCTAGGTTTGAAGACCCCTGGTCGATTCCCTCCCAGGCATAGAGTTTACCTCTTAAATAGTTCTTATCACACAGGAGTTTTGTCCTGATGTCGAACCCAAATCTACTGTCTTATATTTTAAAACTATTTCATTCTGCCTTCTGAACAATTCTGCTCTATGACATGACTTCTCTTCAGATACATGAAGACAGGGATCATGTTTATTTACTGTTTCCTCTTCTGCACACTGAACACATCAAATATTCCTCATAAGGTTTTCTTTTAAAGTTTTTATTTTTGTTTTTCTCCTCTGATTCTACCCCACTTTGTTAATATATTTTTAAAAATGAAGCAGCAAAACTAGATACAATGTTCTAGGTCAGTGGTTCTCAACCTGTGGGTCGGGACCCCATTTGGGGTCGAACGACCATTTCACGGGGGTCGCCAAACAACGCAGTCCACCATTTTTTCCCCCTTTTCCTTAGCTGTGCTACTCCCTTTTATTCTATTGGCTTTTGAAAGCCAATAGAATAGACTCTCGTGAATAGAGTCTAATTCTATTGGCTTTCAAAAGCCAATAGGAATTGTCCAGGCTGTCTCTGCCCTGCTGAGCCCGCCCAAAGTCCCATTCTGCAAACGGTGATGCACCAGTTGAGTAGTCCTCGACTTACGACCGGTTGAGTAGTCCTCGACTTACGACCGGTTGGGGGTCGCGGAATTAAAAAGGTTGAGAACCACTGTTCTAGGTTGATTTGATCAATGGAGAACAGGGGAAAACAATTGTTTCTTTTGATCTTGGAGCTGTATTTCTGCTGATGAAGCCTAGGACCAAGGCTTCATCATTGGTGAGGCTACATTAAGACTATTGGTTGATGTTCAACAGCTGATTCAACAAAACACTCCAGGGTCTTTATGCACGGACTGCTCCATAGCATACCCACCCTATAATTATGCTATTGATTTTATAAAAAATCAATTGCATTTGTCTTTGCACTTATCTCGAATGAACATTCATCTTGCCCATTGTCTGAGCCCACTTTTTATCATCCTTTCTACTATGATCTCATGGGAGATGGTGTTGAATGCTTTTCTGGAATCGGACTACACAATGTCCACTCTATTCCACAGTTAATTGAATTGGTCACTCTATCAGAAAAACACATCAGGATGATTTAGCAGGCCTTCTTTCTAATAAACTCATGCTGGCCTCTGCTTACAAAATGACTATTTTATAATCTGTTTTGCCTGGTACCGACACCAAGCCAATCAGGGTCTAGCTGGCCAGGACCTTTTTGAAGATAAGAGATGTTTGCCCTTCTCTAATTCTATGGCAGTGCACTTGTCCTTCTGGATTTCTCAACAATTACTGAAGTGGCTCCGAGATGACATCCACAATTTACTTAGATGTAACAGCAATCATTTCAAGTAATACACTTAGGTTACTGTGAATATATCCAACACATCTTCCTCCTCCTATTTTCCCCACAACACCCTTCTGAGGTGGGTTGGACTGAAAGAGAGTGACTGGTCCAAAGACACCCAGCTGTTTCATGGCTAAGGTGGGGCTTGAACTCATGGTCTCCTGCTTTCTAGCCTAGTGCCTTAACCACTAGGCCAGGGGTAGGCAACCTTGGCTCTTTTATGACTCGTGAACTTCAACTCCCAGAATTCCTGAGCCAGCATGGCTCAGCATGGAAACCTCTCCCTTTTCCCTCAGCATGGCTGGCTCAGGAATTCTGAGAGTTGAAGTCCATGAGTCATAACAGAACCAAGGTTGCCTACCCCTGCACTAGGCCAAACTGGCTGTCACAATGAGAGAGCTAACAACCAATCCCTCAGAATGCTAATGACACATGACAGCAAAGAATATAAACCCTTCCATTTTCCACCAGTCAGTTAGAACTGAAGAAGCTTCTTGGATGAGAAGCGAAACATTTTCAAAGAAAACTTCAAGAAAGTCCAGTTGCCTTTTGGAAAAGCACCTTTAGGACATTGTTGTCTTCATATTCTTACCTTTTGCCTTTTGCACCCTTTGGTAACCTCAATTCATTCGGTGCAATTCTAGGTTATCCGTAAATTGATTACCTTTTCTCTTTCTACTACTGATATTTATTCTTTCTGTTTTCAGATATTCACTAAGTTTCTGGTGCAGTCATATTGCCTTCTCCTGCTTTTCTTTTTTCTGTGAATTATATAATTATGTCTAATACATTTTTAGTATCTTTTAAAAATACCCACCTATTTTGAGCTCCTTTTCCTGTTCGTTTCTTAACAAAGAATTTTACGTAGCATTGCTCTGAATTAATTAATTTCTCAATATTGAACTATTCTTGATTTTAATTTCCCTTAAAATCAAGAATTCCAGTATTTCATTGTCACTTCGTTGTTTCTTCCATTTATTAACCAAGTCCCCCTACTAATTAATACTATCTGAAGGAGACAATTACCAGCAGCAAAACTCAGGAAATTTCTGGATGAGTTGTGTTTAGCAGTTTATTTCCTATCAGATATTGGGATAATTAATATCCTGGTATCAGTGTCTCTTTGGAGTATCCAGAAGTAATTTGCTTCTGGAAAAATATCCATCTATCCTATTTCCTTGATTAAGTAAGTAGCAGTAGACTCAAACAAGGGGATTTAATCTATTTGATGTGCTATTGATGTGTAATGTGTTTTCATGTAATATTTTCCCTTTTGTTACGCTATTCCAAGTCATTAAAGAACAATAACAAAACAAAAATGAAACTGTTCCAAGGCTTCACAGGAGGAATTTTTTCCTCGATCACATTGTATTGGAATCAATTACTTAACTGACTAAAGCAGAAATCAGAAGTTTAAAAACAATAGCCAAAATACTTAATCAACCAGCATACTATTTTGCCTGATGTCTCTAATCTGACCTATAACCCAGCAACTGTTATGCTATCTTTTTAATGTGGTTATTAACTTTCCACGTGGGATGGAAAAAGAAACCAAGTCTACTCTTTGAACTTATTGACTGAGATTTCAAAATAAGGACCTACAATCAATACTAACATTTACTGGATTATAGACAAGCGCCTAAGAAATGAACCACAAGAGTTAGCCTTCCATTCTGTAAATTTTCACTCCAAATTAAAATCCAATGCAAATCAATTTAAAGATAATTTGCATGTTACTTACCCCGATTGATACTATGGTTTAACCTTAAGTGACAGATTAGATAAGGTGTATCTAATTTTCTTGGTAAGAATTAGCTTTTAATTCATCAAAGTACAATTTAAACAAATGGCCTAATAGCATGAGACGATTGCTTGTATTGTCCCAAAGGTGCTTTTTTTCCAGGAGGCAACTGGACTTTGTTTTTCTTTGAAGACGTTTTGCTTCTCATTCCTCCATTCCCCACCATCCAGTCAGAGCTGAAGAAGCTTCTTGGATGAGAAGTGAAACGTCTTCAAAATAAAATAAGAAAGACCAGTTGCCTCCTGAACAACCATGACCTGGATGACTGAGAATCTCCATAGATTGCTTGTAATGCTTGTATATGGTCACAAAACAGGAAATCCACCCCAAAGGAACAAGGAAAAAAAATAATCAATTTGTGTAAAATGTATGAATGTAGG